GCAAAATAATTAGTGTCAGAAAGGAGGATTATCAAGGGTATTTTGTTTGCTATACGCAACTCATAGATCATTAGCCAATGACGCCATCATCCCCTCGTCGTCATCGTCTTAACTAACCAATGGGTGAAGGCTACATTCATATTTTATTCTGAAATAATTAATGGCATGTTCACACTGTCTAATAGCAAAAGGTGAAAAGCACCTATTAGTTTGTGTTCATGACTTTTAAACCACTTCAACAAAGTGAAATGTTCTCAGGAGTCTTCAGTCGTTATGTATCACTCGATACTGATACTGGCTTTGGAAAATGGAACAGATGGATGAATGGAAATTTGTGTACAGGAATACCAAAAACTGTCCTTGCATTTGCAATATAACTGACAAAAAAGGTAAACATTCATCTTCAGTAAGGAATTGTTAGGGCTGTTCCAGTGATCTCCATCATATCTCAGTTTTTTGCGTTTTTTTCTTCCTCCTTTTTCATCATCTTCCTCTCCATTTGCCTCATCTGCTGTCTCAGGGATAAAAGCATTTCCCAGACTCCACAAATCGATCAGACTCAATCAGCCCGCTGGAGGAACGTCTCAAACACACACACATAAACTCTGTAACCTTTTCTTTTTTTCAGTGCCGATGCAGCGTGAATGGTAAAGTTTTTACACCTAACTTTAAGCCTATAAACATGTGAAAACACATTTTGAGAAAGGGCTCATTTACAGTGAGTTGTCACTGTATTAATATATAATAAGTGACTGAATTAAAGATACATAGAAACTACTTTAAAAAGATAAACACGAGACAATTTTTTAATAGAGCGAAAAATGTACAACTTTTGTTGAGATTTTAATAAGTGAGCTGTATATTAAAAGTATTTGTCTCGTTGTATTCTTCTGAATTTAGTTCTGATTCAGTTGGTTAACACAGCAAATGCAAAACATAATAGAAAAAATTCTCTCAAATATGAAAATCTTGATTTAGGAAAGTCAGATTGAGGAACGTTTTATCAAAAATTTGAATTACATTTGTTGTATTTAACGCTACTTTTCTCTTTATTTTGTCCAAAATATAATAAAATGCTTTGATGAGTCTGGACAATCTGAAACTTGACTGACTGCAGCCAAAACTACCATTTCAGTTTGGGTTTTAGCATCTTACATTAAAACTCAGCAGGGTCTCACATCAGAGGTCAAAGGTCAGAAATCCAAAACTGGCTAGACACTATGGATTTTTCACCCGTGTGTGAAAAGTGAAATGTTTTTTAGCACGAGTTCTATAATTTGTTCTGTGTGTGCAGCGAGAGGGACCATGAGGCTCCGGCTCCTTTAGCACTCATGTGCTGAAACACACACACAGCACAGACATGTCAATCATAAAGTTGGGCTAGCTTAAAACATCCCATATGGAAAAGAAATAGTAAAAAATTTTATGATTTATTCATGAAAGCGGCCACTTTCTCATTACTTTCATATATTGTTTTAGTAAGTATCCAAAACATACAAGTTTCATTATATAATTTTTCAAGGGATCTTATATCTTTTCACTCTTGTATGCTTTTCATACAAGTTTCACACAAGACAGATACAAACTTTATAAGATTTATATATATATCTTTTCCATATGGGCTGCCTTACTTTGTCTTCCTTTGTGATTCTAACAGGGTCATTATTTATAAAATAATCTTCAATTTTTATTAAGACTTAAATCAAGTCTGGGACTATAAACTAATGAGAAAAATGTTTACTTATGGCATAAGTAAACATGGGCATAAAGGGCATCTGGTCAGTTGCTACAAGCCATTCGGTCCCTTACAAATGCAGTGAGAGCTTGGCCTGCATTAGCAGCAGTAGGTCAGATTGTTCCCAGTGAGTGTTGGACTTTGCCTGGGTAAAGTGTTTACCACAGATTGTGTTCATAATTTTTATGGACAGAATTTCCACTTCATCCAACTGCCGAAAGGCTTCCACTTTGGCGGCCTCAGGATGGGAGTGATGGGAATGCAGCCTGACTGCTCATCGCTTCTTTTTTTTACCTGTTGAAGTTCAGAGTGTAGCTGCTGGGATGGGGTTGGCATTCACTCAACTTTGTCATGACTCTGTGCTCCTGGCTAGCTTAGCATTAGGATGCTGTCTGTGCAGGTGCTTAAAGGACCTGAAAAATGCAGTAAAATGCGGCTGTTTCTGTCCTGGATGCAGCTTCCCCTTTACCATCGTGCTCCTTTGTGTAATAAAAATAAAAGCAATGTCCTTGTGTATCTCCACTTCTCAAAACCGAAAAAAACAGAACCTTTTTAACACAACTGGGGACTA